GTTCGTGATCTATATCCAACAAAGTTTGCAGATATTAATCGACAAAGATATATAAAATACACCGACTGGTCGGCATCTGAACTTTTGTAACGGAGATGCTTTTATTCGCCGAGATCATTAAATTTTCTGTTGCATTGTGGATTTAATTGGTTTTATCTTTTTATCTGCTTGAAGGTATGAAGTATAAATTTTTGGTTGGATTTGGTCTGAAGCGTAATCAACACCTTTTCGAATTGTAGCATTTCAGAAGTCTAAATGAGAACGGAAAGTAACAGAACATCCAAATATCGGAAATAAACTACGCAAAGCTTCTTCATCTGATTTACTCTATCATATCCAACAAAGCAACACGAAAAGAGTACAAATTCTATTCGGACATATTGATGACAGTACTTTGCATAAGGGCATCCTAGGTGACCTTAAGGGAATAAATTGAAGAGAAATACTAGTAACGATTTTCTGTAGACCTTTATATTAACATTGTTTCGACACCATGTCAAATGAGAGACTCCTATAGGATCATTCGATCATCAACTTGGATAGAAGTCAAGCTTTCTTATCACATGTTCCGACAGTAATAGGCTTCTTCAACCGCAGTGCAGCTGCTGTCAGACTGGGTTAAACAACCGTTTAATAGTCATAGTCATAAGCATAAAATTAGACAATGTCCGAGCTATTTTGCGTTAGGGCTCGTAGTATCTATTATTTGCTGAAATGTACACTCGTGGGAAGGAGAGTGTCAATATAATTCCATCCTTGACTTCATTCTTTACTACTGCTTGAGCGTCAAGTAGAATTCTATCGAGGTTTTCCTGTTCAAGAGATACACGCGGCGCACGATATTATATTATTCAATTCCTGTCCATTCTCACGATAGCTGACAGTGTGTGCCTTCCAGCACACTGATTTTCGTCACAAAAGACCGAATGCGTAAGTAATCGCATTATCGCCAGCGGATCCACACTTGAAGGAGGTGCACACTGTCAATAATAGCCTGCACGCGTCCCGACCCAAAACACGTCCGCGTCTACAAAGCTTTCCTTGATAACTAATTCCATGGATAGAAACACGTGTTGGCTCCACGTGGTGCCGCGTGCCTCCAATTGAAGCTCTATATGCGGACGGATCGGCGCTTGATGATGTGATTTCTTACACGTCGGTTGTTGCTGATTCTGGATGGCATAATAATTGAAATCCTTCGGTGAGTTTGAATGCAGGCGGCACTCCTGATAGGTAGCGAATGGATTCATCGGAAGCTTTTTCATGAAGTGCGGCTAAGGGTAGTGAGTGCTGGCAGCGCCACCTTCAACTAACGAGCCATGAACAGTAGATATGGCAACGCAGCTTTGGATTCTTCCACAGACAGGTGTTTTGCCGGGCTTTTCGTTTGTTTATATTCCTAACCTCCGACTTTTTGGTGCATTTCGTTGTAAATCTCTGGGAACAGTGCAATTCATACAAACCAGAGTAATCTACTTAGTTTTGCTCTTCAAACCGTGCAGAAAGTATTTATTTTAGGTAGTATAAAATCGTGCTTTGATGTGTTTAAAATGTGTGTGAATCGGTGCTTGTTAGAAACGTCTGTATAGTGTGTAGATTCGAGTGGGTACATCTTTTCTTTTAATTAATATGCCTAAGCGTTGCTGTGTACCAGGCTGCAAGGGAAACTACGAGGCAGAATTGAGATCGACACCGTACAGGTCAGTGTTTCGATTTCCAAAAAATGAGGAGTTGAAAAGTAAGTGGCTAGCTTCAATACCAAGAAAGGACTGGTCGCCTTCTAAAGATTCTGTTGTGTGTGATGCACATTTTCAACAAGCAGAAATTGTCCGTACGGAAACTTATGTTCTGCAGGATGGATCAGCTAACACAGTCACACTGAGTCGTCCAAAACTTTCAGAAGGTGCTGTGTTAGTTGAAGGTGGCGCTGGTGCTGGACTATCTTCCTACCTAAAAATAAAAAAATGGCGTCAAGGATATGTTCGACACAAACTAGACCCTCTGAGAAAGTCAGTCAAACCGGTCTCTCTAATAAAGGCGAGATTTCGTTTAAAGCTACTCTTACACCTAACCTTATGTAGATGCAGTAAAAATAAAAGAAAAAATAATAATAATTGCAGTCTAATTCATATTAGACGAAAATACCCCTGGTTTGCGAAATAATTCTAAAGTCTGGTTGTATTGCTGCAAGTTGTTCGAGATATTCAAAACAGGGACGCATAAAATGGGTACACCGATTTTTATGGGAAAACTTTTTATTCGATAACAAAGAATGAGAAAACGTGTCGCTTGGGATTCAATCGAAAGTGTTGGCAGGAACGAAAAAACTCTTCATATAACATTTTTAGGTATTTATGAGACCTACAAAATGAGACCACACGTAAAAAGATCCGACTAATAGCAAAAAAGTTACGGCCTAAAACCGAGGCAAACGGCAGGTTTTGGCACTTGTTGGTAATGCGACGATGGTTTATCGCAGATATTTGGAATTCTTCAAATTCGTAGAGTTCGTACTACTACAAGACACCTGTTTTGTGCTTTAGAATCAGGATAACTTTCATATAATTTCAAATTTTTCAGTTATTTAAATGGACCAGTGAAAATGAGAGAAATAATGGGTTGATTTTCTAGCTATTACATTTAGTAGGATATTTTAACTGTTTTTGACGACTGTTCATGCATGGCAGTCTAGTTTTGTCTGTATATCACGTACCGGGTGTTGCACATAATACGTACCTGTAGAAATGTACCGATTTTTGTTATTTTGCAAAAAACAAGGATATAAAACGTATTCCAACTGGTTCATCATCTTTTGTTACAGCAAAAACAATTTTTGCCGATTTATGATCTAGAAATCCACACCAAATGTAAACAAACAGCACATTCTGCATTTCTATTTATATTTTTTGCAGGTTTTAAGTTTGCTGGTAGCTTTACGACATATATTTGAGTATTTCTTAATCGCTGTAAATAGAGTGTGGATGATTGTTCAGTTCCTGAACAACCAAAAAATATTTGACCATTTCACTTTTGTAAAATGTTCTAGGACTATATCTTGGGCAGCAACAGTTAAAACAGTTTAAATAATTCGTCCTCTGGGATAAACAATTAACTTTTTACATAAACTATTAAACAGATCCTGCTGAAATTTAACACACTTATTAACACCAATTATACCCTCATTCTCACAAGCCGTTTACAATCGTTTTTGCAATAGTTATAAAAATGTATCCTAAAATCTCCGTATTCAGCTTAATTGTTTATAATTCTTGAAAAACACAAATGATGGTCTTTTTATGATCTAAAATCTTCAGTTTACCGATTATTTATAAGATATAATGTAAAAATTATTATTATTTTGACCTTTTCCCATTGTTTATAAAAAAACGATGCATATGTGGATGTATCTTTTTATGTAAGGTACCCGGGGGTAATAAGGCCCACCAGATATTAATTCCCAACGCTGGTTTGCCCAAAGGAAAGCGCCTAAAAAATTTATATCGCCATCTGTTAATAATATTTAGTATTACTGTTGCCGGAAATGTAATTTTGTTCTATGGTTATGAGCTTCCTGGCTTGTTCTATGGTGTCACGTTTCGCTGTGCTGTATTTTATAAGAATTTCGACCGGTAAGTAAGCAAATTAAATTGTTTTAATAATACGTAGATTTTTCATTATGTATGCATGATAATCTATGTATCTGATAGTTTCATTTTACGTAGCGTTTCTTTTTATGTTGGGTTTGTTTGTTGCTTAATAACCTCAAAATTAATTTTATTGTGCTACAGGTTATAAGGCCCGGGCCTTATTTTCTACAATGCATTGAAAAAGGCTTGGGCTTTATTTTCTGCCGTCATGAATACACGTATGCATTAGATTTATTTATTCTTTTACAGAAGATGGGTAAAAAAAGCAGAGGGATAAGGGCAAATTGGGATGAAGAGATGATGAGAGAGGCATTAAATTACATTAACGAGGGAAACTCTCAGCGCTGGGTGGAACAAAAATGCGGAATACCCAGACGAACACTTAGGAACCACATTAAATCACAAAGCGTGAAGAGAAAACTAGGTAGACAAACAATTTTGACCGATAATGAAGAGACTGATCTTGAGAATAAAATAATTCGGCTAGCCGATAAAGGTTTTCCGCTAACATCAAAAGCATTAAGAAGGTCTGTGTTCAGGTATGTTGAGCAAAAGAAAATTAAGCATTGTTTCAATCAGAAAACTCGTCTCGCTGGTAGGGAGTGGGTAAGGACTTTTCTGAAAAATCATCCGAGAATATCAAAACGTCGATCTCAATTCATGAATCCAGCAAGAGCCCAAAAATTAAATCGTTTTATCGTAGAAGATCATTTCAAAAAACTAGGAGATTTGTTGGAGCGCACTCGGTTAAAAAATAAAGAAGCAAAAATTTATAATATGGACGCGAAGGGTTGCCGCTTGACTCTTCACCACCAACAAAACGTTCTGGCAGCCAAAGGAGCAAAACGAGTGCATGTAATTTCTCATGAACACGCCGAAAACTATCGTCGCTTGCGCTAATGCTCTCTTACATGCCATACCGCCTGCCATTCTTTTTAAGGGCAAGAGAATGAAGCCAACCTACTTAGATCGCTTACCGGCTGGCTCAAAAGTTATGATGACGCCTAAAGGGAGCATGACGATAGAAACGTTTGATAAGCGGTTAGACCATTTCATTGAATACATGTCGCCTCCGCCTGTAATTTTAATTTTTGATGTGGCCAAATGCCATTTGGATATTAGCATTGCTGAGAAAGCAGAAGCTCATGAGATTCACTTATATTGTCTGCCGAGTAACACCACCCATGAGCTTCAGCCGATGGACAAAGCTATATTTCGAGCATTTGCAGCTTATTGGGACGATGAATTGTTAAAGTACTGGGATAAACATCCTACACGTGATTTAAACAGGGAAAGATTTTCTGAAGTTTTCACACCTACATGGCAGAAAGCAATGTCCATTGGAAATATTACATGCTGCTTTCGAGCTACGGGAATATGCTGATGACCGCCGCTGCCGATGATTCGGAATATGATTCAGATGACTACCTGCCCTTAGGTGAATTGCGTAAAAAATTAATCCCTTTGAATAATTCCTTCGCGGAAGTTTTACCAACACCAGATCTAGTCAAAAAAAATCTGCTCCAAGACGTAAAGCTATAAATTACAAAGCAGTTGAAGTCAAGCGATCCGTATTTTTAAAGGAGGTGGAGTCTCAACTTGATCCCGTTCCACTCTTATCGAATACCGCTAAATCGCCATCTGAATCTGTGTCTTCCATTGCATCAAAAACAAAAGAACATAACGAAGAATGGCACTGTGTGATTTGCTACGAAGACTATGTAGCAGATATGAGACGATGTGCTTCTTGTGGTTTTTGGGTCCATGAGGATTGTGCTGGTTTGACTGCGGACGATACTGAAAATTTTTTGTGTCCAGACTGTATGCCTTAAGTATTAGATTTATACTTAATACCATATTTTATCTTTGATACTGTTTTTTTAGTGTGTTACATTTATTTTTTATTCTATCAGTATTTTGTTGAATTATGTTTTGTATCTCTCATTCAAATCTCATTATATGTCGTTGCAGATATTAAGGCCCAAAGGGATATTTGGATATCATTTTGTGTTTTGTTTATTCGTTTGACTTGTTTTTGTTCGTTTAAATATGGGCCTTATTATATGCACTTGCAGGCTTTAAGGCCCAGAAGACATTTTTTTTAATGTTCGTCTCGACATATAAGCATGATTATTTTGTGTTCAAACATTACCATTATGTTAGTTTATACCCTTTTCTATTTTTTATAATAATAAAAGTTTGAAAAATAAATTTCTCTCGTAGATATTAATTATAATTTCTTAGGTGGGCCTTATTACCCCCTTGTACCTTATTTGTCATTTAAAAATCCTCCCTTCCATTCAAAACTTTCAGATATCTGCTAAACTGTTACTGCGGATTGGTATACCACCATTTGTTTGTCAAAAGTTTGCCGAGCTTCGAAAAATCAACCCCTAAAGAAGAATCATCCTCCACCAAGACAATGCAAGCTCGCACACAGCCCAAAAGAAAAGGCAGTATTTAACGGAAGAAAACCTGGACCATCCTCCATATGGTCCCGATCTAAGTCCTAATGATTTCTTTACTTTCCCGAAAATTAAAAACAGACTGCGTGGTCAAAGGTTCCAGTCACCAGAAGAAGCAGTTGACGCATTCAAAAGTGCCGTTTTGGATCTGCCAGCTAACGAGTGGAATAAGTGCTTCGAAAATTGGCTCGAGTGCATGCAGAAGTGTATTAATCTTCGTGAAGAATACTTCGAAAAATAATAAAGTCATTTAAAACTACCCACCGTGTTGTTTTATTTCCATATGCAAAACTTAAAAGACATCCCTTCCAGCACCTGGGGCATGTTCGGTCTCTTTCCACCTTTAAAAGCTGCCTGTTCAGTTTGCAGTGGCCTGTACCAAAAGTTTGAGTGATTTTCTACCTCCGTCCAGCAGCCAGCCCATCCATTTTATCAGCGTATACTTCTGGGTGGGTATAATATTTAGCACATTCGCATTGTTGAAGTTTGAACAGGGGAGCTTGCAGCTTGTTCACGTACCAGCCTCCTCCCCATACCTGTTTCGATTTTCCATAATATTCGGTCATCAAAGCAAAAACGGGGCAAATCCGATCCCTTCCCGTTTATAAAATAAACAAAGCAAGGTACTCATCGAAAGGGCGTGGCTTGTCATAACCGGCCCCTCCCCGAATGCGAGCACCGGTGTCGATTCGACCAATCCCGGCCGACCGGCAAATATATTCGGCCAGCCACATCGGAGTCTGCTCCTCACCAGCTGCACAACATCGAGCGGAAAAGGCAGTCACTTGCGCACTGCTGTCACGTGTATGTGTTGCCGTTCGCCTGTTTGTGTCCCGTGTCAAAGGATTTTCTGTGCAATAGTGTAGGCGACAGTGCGACAAACTGGAGCACCGTACTTGTATTAAACAGGAAATGAAGGTGAGTCGGAGCATTTTTACAATTGGTGTCTACTAAGAAGCGCAGGATTTACCTGTCGAAAGCTGAAATGCGTCGATAGATTGAAATGAGAACAACGTTTACGCCCAAATCTCAGTGACACTTCTAGTTGGTCTTTTCTGTGCTTCAGTGTCAGCGCTCTATTTTGAGGTTATGAGACAAATATTTATTTGCATCAAATTGTTCATGCTTTTGATTTACTTATCATCTGTTTAATCTGTCTGAAATTACTCAGACTTCAAAAAGGAAGCATAAACTTGCAATAAGGAAACGCTGACACGGAACAGTAGAAATCTAGAAATACCCCAAGAGACTGAAGAGAGAAAGGTCTATCAAAATCAAGGAGGCCATAAAGGCGTCCCAAAATTGTAGGAACGACTGACGATACTGGCCCTGTCACGCACTCATGTCATGGTACGTTGGAGTATCTGCTCGAAATATTCACCCTGAATATAGCTATTTCAACATTGGTTTTTTTCATTAAAGAAGATTCCTTAAACAATAAGTTCCAGTAGCTACTCTTCCGTCCTAACCCCTCTGTCCCTACCATAATTACTTTATTATATTGTCCTATGTTCAATATTACGAGCTTCCAAACACAGAACGTCCTATCTATAAATTATAAATTTTAACAAACCGGTAATTAGGATGTTTTAACTAAAGAGGGTAGATTATAGGTGAATCGCTAATATCTAGGTATTATGGGAGAAACATGGTAATCATCTGTCAAATTGCCAAATAAATACGTAACTTCGCGATAATAAAGAACAGTTCGACGTTGGGCGCCATTTAGGTACGTCATAATGACCGCTTGGCCAACCTACTAGCCGCAAAACTCTTCAGGATGCATAAATAGCATAGGTTGTCCGAGGAACACTGAATTTTGATCAGACCACAATCCATATAATACTGAAAATAGCATTGAATTCTAAAGCTCGTGAAAATTACCATAGGTATGAAGACAAAGGGGCTCTTTTGTTTTCATCTGGCCTTTTTATAGTTTCTATCACCGGTATTCTACGAAAACCCTACAATAGTCAAAGGCCCTGAGGAGTTACGTGGCTACATGTAGGGCAGTCACATTCTTCTGAATCCAATCTTATTTTTACTATTATTCTGATTATATTTTGATCAATACAGTACCTAGCATATAATGCATCAGTCATCACTATCACCGACATGCTTTATGATCCCAAGATTCTGTGGAGCTTTTAGTTAGAATAAATTGGCGCCCAACCTCAGACTATGTGCGATATATGGAATTCTCACGGGCTTTAAAAGTCAATGTCAGATCTGACTATACAGTTGAGTAATTTATTTTAACTGCTTGCAGGACTCGTCGAAAGGAGATGATATATCTACCAAAAAAATCACGTATATAAAAGTTGCATAATAAAAAAATAGGTAACGATTAAAAATAAAAAAATAAGAATTTTATTACACAGAGAAATAAATGACTCAACTGTGAAAACACCCTGTATAATCAGATCTGACTTTAAAAACCCGTAAGAATGAATTATATCGTACATGGCCTCACGTTGGGCGCCAATTTATTCTAACCAAAAGCCCCACAGAACCTTGTGATCATAAAGGATGTCGGTGATAGTGATGACTGATGCGTGTAAATAAGAATTTTATTAGACAGATTTTTTTATATTCCCGGTCACTGCCGTGTAAAATGAGTACTACAATTATTAGAAGATGTTCCGCTGAATGTGAGGCAGAATATGTGGTTCGTACATGATGAGGCTCCACTACATTTTAGACAAGTTCATGAATATCTAAATAATGAGTTTCCGAATATATGGATATGGCGCAATGGACCCATTTCTTAGCCTGCTCGTTCCCCGGACTTAACGCCTAGCGATTTTTTTCCGTGGGGCTGTTTGAAAGAGTTGGAATATCATGATGGATCAGTAAATACTCTGGAAGAACTTCAACAGCCAATTGAAAACGCGTGTGATCTAATTCGGGGACACCAGGATTATATTTTGGAAGCGTGTGGAGAGTCGTGGATTCGCCGAGCGAAAAGGGGACAATTTTGAACAGTTTTTGTAAAAAAATGTTTTTAAATAATTTTGATGTTGCAAACTAACTCTCTTATTATGCAACTCTTATATAGGTGATTTTTGGTATATCAACTTCTTTTGACTAGTTCTACAAGCTGTTAAAATAAATGACTCAACTTTGAAAACATCGATCTGACTGTTAAAGCCCGTGAGAATGCCTTATGTCCTGCCTCACGTTGGGCGCCAATTTATTCTAACTAAAAGCTCCACAGAACCTTGGGATCATGAAGAATGTCGGTGATAGTGATGACTGCTGCATGTATTGTTTCGATCAAAATAGAATCAGAATAATAGTCAAAATCAGATTGGATTCTGAAGAATGTGATACCTCTACATGTTGCTACCCTACGGTTTATTGGACGGCAATTTGTGCTTTGGATGACAACTTCGTCTATTGGTGTTTTCGGTAGCCTCTAGCCGTGTAACTCCTCAGGGCCTCTGACTATTGTAGAATATCGGTGATAGAAACTATAGAAAGGCTAGAAGTGCCTCCAGCTGATTCAGTTTTGATCAATCAGGACGATACTAAAAATACCATTGCCTTCCAAGGCTCGTGACAACTTTCACGGGATCTCCTAGCCGACGTTGGGTACCAATTGGGTTATATTACAGAAAAAGGTGTATTTTTCAAAAATACAAAATCAAAAAATTACCTTTGTAAAATTATGGCAATTTTACTATGATATTTACGTGACATTTAGATCTGACTGAGTGTAAAATGTGTTGAGAACAATACACTCTAGGTCTTGCAGAAAATTAGTGAGATGGTCAGCATTATTCCCAGCATATTAGCAGGAACGGCAGACATAACTCATGAAGCTTCTTAGGCTCTTTGACTATTGATATAGATATACAGTATATTCAGATAAGAGATAGACCGGACATAAACAAGACCACGTGATCATCGAACGCTGTGACATTCGGCAGGGACGTATTAAGAGTCACGCAGTACATATTTTAGATAGTAGATGCTGCTTTGCGTAACTTTGTAGTAAATTATGTGTATACGATTGGTGATGGATATAGGATCATGTGGGGGTGGGGTAAGAAATATATAATGATGTAAATATACATAAGGGTTTCAAAATTTTCGCTTCGATTTCCAGCTTCGGATGCCGCCTGATGTTTGGTGAAATACAGTCGAATATAATCTCAAAATGGCGTTTAAATTAGCCTAAATTAAAAATAATCGTATATCTCTTAAAATTGCTTTTAGAATATTGATTAGTATATTTTTTGATTTCTAGGTAAATATGTAACCAAATTAAAACGTTCAAAACGTAAAAAATGTGCATGGTTGAACATTGTCAGAAAGTAGATTCTTGAATAGGTTTTGCCAAAATGGGTTCAAAAATGTCAATAATTAATTAAAAAATACAGTAGCTTTATAATTACTTATAACTTACCGAATTTGATGAACGATATCTTTTATTGGAAAGATGAGCTTGATGAGCTTTCATCATCGCTACTGCCTGAAGCACCAACGTCAATAATGAATGGCTCGACTTGTTCCTCTAAAATATTGTCCAGTTCCCACATTCTCTTTTCAACTTTGTCTTTCACGTGCTTAATACAGTTTTCCCATTTTTGCGCTGTTATTAATTCTAGTGCTTCTTTGAAAAGTCCTTTGAGGTCACAAAATTTAAAAGTTGTATTGTGCTTAGCTATATAATTTTTAACCTCTGCCCATATGAGCTCAATGGGATTGAGCTCGCAATGGTATGGAGGTAAACGGAGCACAGTTTTATTTTGACTTGCTGCCATTTCGTCAATGGCGTATTTTTGATATTCCGCCTTGTGATCCTTGACAATTCTTAATAATTGTACTTTCAGCATTGCTTCTTCAAAGTTGATATTTTTCGAGCGGAGCCAATTTTGAACATCAACTTTCCTTGAAGCCGTTGTTGGGACCTTCTCCACTCTTCGAGAATGATAAGGCGCATTATCCAACACAATTACTGCGTTTTCCTCTAAGTTCGGTAAAATTTTTGAAAACCACTGTTCAAACGATTCGCCATTCATTTCCTCGTGGTAATCTCCAGTTTTCTTAGACTCAAAGCACCACAGACCGTCAACAACAAATCCATCCTCACTGCCAATATGACAGATAATGAGCCTTTTTCCTTTACCTGGAAATCGAAGTACTAACTGGTGTAGATTTATTTCAATAAGCGAACCTTTTTCAAATGTTTTCATCACATTCAGCGAAAAAACATTGAGACATGAGTATCAGATTGCTATAATTGGGATTATTTAGTCATATTGAAAGAAAGAATATTGAACGCCGTATGATTACTCA